TATGTTTTTTTTAATTGTATTCCCTTTTTTTGATTTCGTTTTATGGTTATGTTTTATGTTATTTTCTTTTTATTTTTCTTAGCATTTTATATTTATTTGTTAATTTTTTTAATTTAATTTTTTATTTTGATTTTAAACCCTTCTTTTATGTTCATTTTTTATTGTTTATCATTTCATTTTGTTCAATTCGTCCATTCCTTTGACTTTTTCGATTTTGATTCTGAAGGACTGGAACCTGTTTCAATTCAATTTATTTACAACTAAAACTACCTTCTAGGCAGTCCACTGTATCACTACCAACGACTATACGACTATGCAACGACTATACGGCTATAAAGTCATAAGTCATTTATTTAATTTAAAAATATTGAGCTAAAAAAAAGCCAAAACTTAAAACTGAAAGTTGCAACTGAAAAAAGAGTTACAACTAAAAATTGTAAATTTTCTTTCTTCCCGTGGCAACTTCCAGTTTGCAACTCTTCTTTCAATTGCAATTTCTAGTTTTAAGTTTTGGTTTTTTTTAAGCTAAATATTTCAATATTAAATTAATGCTATGGCTTTGAAGTCATTGGTAGTGATACAGTGGACTGGCTAGAAGCTAATGTTAGTTGTAAAAAAAGTTTTTAAGCTTAGCTAGGGCCTATTAATCGAGAATTGAAAAAAGGTACTTTCATAAAATTGTTTTAATAACTTAAACAAACATTTAGACCGTCCAATATTTACATATATCTCTACAGATGACAACAAAGCCACGGCATTACCAAAAATTTAAAATTTTTGGTATGAAAAAAGCCACAACTCTAAACGCCTGATCACCGAAAGTAATGGATAAATTAAACCAGTGGACTGTGGGTGTTTGGGCACCCAAAAATAAAGTTATACTTTTATAAAATTCTGTGGCAAACAATATATGAATTAAAATACCAAGAGAAATACCTTATATAAAACGATATTTTAAATAACCCTATGCGATGTATCGCAGGTGGTGCGGTTATTATTTGAACTAAAATATTCAGTAGTTGGGTATGGCTTTAATAAATATTGTAACATCAAATAAACATACAATTATTAACAATATATTATATACAATAAAATGATTTTGATTTAAGCCATGGCAGGATGTGCTGATAGGTTGGCAAGTACAAGACTGTGTGC